AAAAAAAAAAAAAAAAAAAAAAAAAGGATCGACAGAGAAGAAGATTAATTAATTAATTACCATGATGACAGCTGCGCAAGGATTGATACGCATGACTCGAGAAATGGTCCAAATTATTTCACAAAAAAAAAGAAAGAAAAAAAGCATTTACATGGATTAACGGTTTTTTTCTGATCGTTGGTTTGGCTAATCAACGCTCGAGAATGCTTAATCCGGTGGAGCGGGACCTCGACGCTGCCCGCTGCCTGCGTCTGAGCCTCAAGTAGGTCTCGCTAACAGTTCTTCACATTTGACGGTAATAAAACTTTGTGTCTGTAAGCCGGCTAAAAAAGAAAAGAAATTTAAATTACAATTTCATCACCACAGCGTTACCTAAAATGCTCTGGATCTGAGAGAACAAGAGGAAAAAAAAGCTGTTTACCTAAAAAAGCCGTCGATAAGTTGGCATTCTAACTCCTAGCCTCCTAGGGAGGCACACATACACCACATCTCGCAGATGATCGAGCGATGGAGCTTCTTCTTCTTCTTCTTCTACTTCTTCTTCTTCTTCCCCCTTACTCCTCCTCCTCCTCCTCCTCCTCCTCCTCCTTCTACATTCTTCTTCTTCTTCTGCTGCTGCTGCTGCTTCTTCTCCTTCTTCTTCTTCTTCTTCTTCTTCTTCTTCTTCTTCTTCTTCTTCCCCACTCGAGATGACGACAACTCGTCGACTCTTATGGAAGCTAAAGTCCGGATCACAGACGAGACGAAGACCTGTACAGTGTACAGGCGAACATCTTTCCCAAAGATCTGACGGTGACGGTGATAGATCAGCGCTGCAGTCCTTACTAACTAGAGTAGTAAGCACATACAACATGAAATGAAGACTGCCTAGAGTTCACGAGTAAGTGCAGAAAGGAGCGATGGCAGATATTAGCTGATCGCCAAGCAAAGCTCACTGGATAGGAGATACAAGAAAGAGATTGCCTGTCTCAGGATAAGGAGGAAGAAGACGACCAATACGACAACAGGGAAGTAGAAGAAGATGATGCCTAAGAACGCAGAAGAAGAAGACGAAAAAGACGAAAAAGACGAAGAAGACGACGACAACGAAGAAGAAGAAGAAGAAGAAGAAGAAGAAGAAGGAGGAGGAGAAGAAGAAAAAACATAGGAAGAGTAAGGAAGAAGAAGAAGAAGGTGGAGGAGGTGGAGGAGGTGGAGGAGGAGGAGGAGGAGGGCGGGGGGGAGAGAAAGCGGAGGAAAGAGACAGCAAGAGAGATAAACCGGGAGAGAGGGGGGGAAGGAGGAGGGAAGGGGAGGGGAGGAACATAGTGTAGCAGGTGAGATGAAGGTTTCACCCTCCTTATGTTATTCCGGGCTAGTTGGTGGGGACCACTTCCGAGGTGGACATGTTTTGTTCCCTCAGACCTATTTCTCTGATGACCTGATTCTCGGCGAAGATGAACGCTCTCTCATGCCTCTTCTGGCACGCTTTGAAGTCCATAGTGACAGTGACTTTCCGCGTCGAGTTCTTGAGGCATGATGCGAAGCAATCACGGAACCGCACCATGAAAGGGGGAGTGGTCCCATCTCCTCTCCGCGTACCAGGCTCTAGAAAATTGTCCAAATCGTCGAGGGATGGATGCCAGTCCTGGTTGATGAGATATCTCTCCTCCACGTACACGTGGGGAATCCACCGCTCTTTCTGCGTCACTAGGAGGTAGAGGGCTGTTCCCTGATCGCACACGAAATCAGGCATACCCGCTATTACCCCCTTCATCTTCGAATGCAGATCCGTCTGATTGGTAGTATAGCTGTCCCACAGCTGCACCATCGAGTCGAAAAAATCTCGAGAATGAAAATCATTCCTAAACAGGATGACGCCTGTGTTGAGGGAGCGGCTGAAATCCGGCTCGGAATCGAGACTAGGTGCATCTCCCCAGGTCACTAGGCTATACCCTCGGTACTCCTCCCAAGGAATGCGGAAGCTCAAGTCCATAATCAACACGTCAGTGTTCATCCAGATGTACCAATCGTAGCTAGGCTGATCGCGCATGATGTGGAGGAGGAGGAGGACCTTGTTGCGCGCCGAGCTGTGGGGATTGGAAAGATCAACGGCGACTTCAAGCAGCTCCAGAGAGAACCACGTGTCCATCGCGTGTCGTCGAGAGTAATCGGACTTGTTCCTCAGCGACTTCAAGATTGTGCTGTTGTAATCAGGGGGAGATGGACAATGAGACTGACGTGCAGAGATCAACAGGACCCGTGGATTAACCTTGGCTGATCCGAGGGATCGGCGGACGGGGGAGTCGAACGCGGGAATCTGTTGAGACCAGAAAAGAGGCTCTGGCGATGCCAACCGGCTACTGTCGCCGCTGCTATTGCCGCGAGTGAGAGGGTGGAGAATGCCGAAGCACCACCAATTAAGGAGCATCACACCCATTATCACTGTCGCCGCGATCCACACCGGATCACAAAGAGCGGATATCGAACCTCGGCGCATCTTCTTTTCCGATGAAAATGACCGATCACACAAATTACCTACCTAACTTGTCAGCAGCTGCTCTCTCTCTCTCTCTCTCTCTCTCTCTCTCTCTCTCTCTCTCTCTCTCTCTCTCTCTCTCTCTCTCTCTCTCT